TCTATCTCAGAGTTAACTAAATATTTCACAGATATCTTCTTCTTCAGAGTATTTATTATAATTATCACATGAACTCAGAGATATAAGAATTATTAATTCTTTATTTCTTTCTCTTCTTTATCTTCTACAGATACATTTGACAGAAGAAGAGTTAATTTTAAGAAGATATCTTCTAAATTTCTTTTCTTCTTTGACTTCTTATAATTATTAGTATAGTAATCACTAGCTCTGCAGTTAAAATAGAGATCTTTATCAAGTCTTTTTTAATATTTCTTTACAGTAAGTGAAGAATCAGAATACTTGAAATTTTTCTTGTTATTATATGCACTGAAGCTGTCACAGTACTATTTAGATTCTATTATTAATTACTTAGAAGAGATCTTATTAGTCTTTTTCTCAAAGTATTAATTATTCAAATAAATCTGAGAAGTCAAGTTAATAAGCTTAGTGTAATTAATTAATGAACTCTGATACTGTGATATTATTATTTACATCTTTTAAGTCCGCTTTGTAAGATAAAGCTATATCTTTAATTAATTCAAATTATCAGTTAATTTCTCTCAATATTCTTCAAATCTTGTATTGAAATCAGAAGATTTCTTATCATTAAATTAATATAATGAGTTGAACTACTGAACTGCTGTAAAGCTACAGTTATAGTAATCTCTGATCTGATTCAGTAGAAAGTCTTTGAATTCTTCTCAAGTTATAATAGTATTAATATACTTAAGCTCTCTCTTCTTAATAGTTTAAGTAGATACAGAGATATCTTTAAGAAGATTAACAGTATATATTACTTATATCTCATAAGTATTAAACTGACTCAGATTAAGGCAGAATTTTTATTCAAGAATACAGATAAAGTTATGAAATTCAGACAATACATTTTTCTTATAATTTGAAGAATGTTCAATCTTAATCTTTCTATTCTTATAATAGATATAGAAGTATAGAGGCCGCAGCAGTGATAGAGTAGTTAAAGAAATCATACTAAAATATACAGTAAGTTCAGAAATCTCAGATTTCTGTCAGAGTAAAGATGTACACACTTTAAAAAATGATATAAAGTTTCTTTCAGAGAGTAAGATTAGATTAATCTCAGTATAAGTGTATAAAATTATATCAGTCTGTTAATAGAGTATGACTGATTCAAACTTACAATCGGATTAAGTGATTTAAATTATAATATAATAGAACTGAAGTAGTAACTAATTAGTAGTAATATGTAGATAGTTATCTAAGAATCTGTTTTAGTAAACATAACTATCTTATCTAAATAATGAGCTTGTGAGCTACAGAGTTATTGCAAGAATATCATAAATATAGTACTTAGTATATTAAGAAGATTGTATGAGAAATGCAGTAACTCTTGTATATATTATCAGTAGAAGAAAAATGAATCACTAACTTCTTTAATATGAAATCAGTATCTAGCTATTTGCCCCGGTGGCCGAATGATTAATGTGACCACCTGATAGCACCTTGATGTAAGAAACCAAGGCATGTGAGTTTGAAACCTGCAGAGAATACATTAAATTCAGAGCTCAAGCACCTCAGATTTCTAATAAATATAGAGATATATAAATCACTTCAACAAATCACTCTATGTTTCTGAAATGAGAAGTTATTATCACATGTATTTAACTATCACTTCTTTGTATTTTCTATGTTTTTATTATCTTGATATAATCTCAACATCTGTATTTTCTTCTGTATAATTAACACTTAATCTGTATTTAATATCATGTAAGAACTCATCATAAGCTCTGCTTGTATATAAGTATAATGAAAGAATAATAATAATAATAATAATAATAATAGTATCTAGCTATTTTATATAGATAATAAGTAAATATCTCTCTTCTATTCTATGAGTAAGAATAGCTGAAGTAATACCTCAGTAGTATCTCACTATTATAAAAGAAGTAATTTACTAATCTTATATAGAAGTGAGATTTTTACATTTATCAATCAGATCTTTCTATATTGCATCTGAATAATATTATAGAGTGATTGAAAACCAGTTCAAATAGTCTGTAAAATGAATAAAATTATTTACAGAGAAGTAATGAGCTGTATAAAACTGTAACAGAGTTTTAACACGGCTGAGAGTGTGACACTAATTATTAAAAAAACATGCAAAGTGATCATTTATTAGATCTCAAAATGAGACTATAACTTAGAAAAAATAAGAAAGTGAGTTCATTTAATTTCATTTAATTTCATTCTTAATATAAAGTGACTATTTTTAGTCATTTTAAGATTTTTTTTAGACTATTTTTAATATTTTAAAAAGTAATGATCTTTGATAACACTTAAGAAAGATTTAAAGTCATTTAAAGTAATAAAATAAATTTAAATTGAGAAGTGAAAATCATAATCTCATTTTAAAAATATTATAATAGTAGATAGTAAGTCTTACTAAAATAGTATAAAACTACTCTCTGATCTTAATACTGTGAAATGAGATTAATTAAATTGATAATAAAACTATTAAATATTCTAGTTCTGATTTCAGACATAGTTACATAATCAGTCTAATTATTGATTATATTTAATTATAAATATACAAAATAATGAAAAGTAACTGACTCACTTGTATAACTTAATTACTTATAGACTGACTATGTAACTATGTCTAAGATCAGAACTAGAATATTTAATAGTCTTATTATTAATTTAACTAGTCTTATTACACAGTTTTAAGATTAGATAGCAGTTTTATACTATTTCAGTAAAACTTACTATTCACTCTTATTATATTTTTTAAATAAAACTATGATTTTTACTTCTCAATTTAAATTTTTTTTATTACTTTAAATGACTTCAAATCTTATTCAAGTATTATTAAAAAGTATTACTTTTTAAAAAATTAAAAATAGTCTAAAAAAAACCTTAAAATGTCTAAAAATAGTAACTTTATATCAAGAATGAGACTAAATGAAATCAAATGAAATCACTTTCTTATTTTTTCTAAGTCATAGTCTCATTTTGAGATCTGATATATAGTCACTTTGTATGTTTTTTTAATGATTAGTCCCAGTGGGATTCACACCAAGAAATGTATGAGACCAGACCAAATGGGACCAAATGTGAAATTCATGGTCCCGGCGGCCAGTCTACTTGCTTGTCAATTATGTTATAAAATAAGCTTGCTGTCAGAACTTAGAATCAGTTTTAACTCAGAATATAAGTATCAGCAGTTAATTTCTCAACCAATTTAAATATCTTGTACTTGATAATAAAGTCTAACTTGTTGATTACGTTACTCTATCAATACAATCCTTTGTTAAAAATTGTAAGAAGTTATTGTTCCTATCATATTTATCATACGAAATTCCTTCAGCACAACCTGCGCGCCATTTCAGATCTGCGTTGAGAATGATGCGAGACTGACCGGCCTACATAGATAGAGGAACCAACATGAAACAACAAAGGATCGGGTTTGAAAAACGTGGTGGGAGAGGAAATGGGTGCTCCCACGAGAGCCAGTAGCGTGTAAAATTCAAAAGAGAGCGGGAAAAGGGGGAAAAAATAATACACGGTAATAATTATCAAATATTACAAATTGTAGTCAAATACAGTGTAAGATGATAAGAGTGTTATAGATATTCAAGAAGGTTGGCTATTAGGGAAAGAGGTTGGGAAGAGGAGCAATATCAACGTGATGAGGGTTGCCAACGTGGGCTGAACACGAAAAAAGAATGAAACCCCGTTTCTTCCCTAATAATAATAACATTAATAATAGACAATAGTTGAAAATGTGGTTTGGTGCGAGCCACGGTTCACATATGTGCGAGCATTGCCTGCGACATACTGCATATTAAGCAACAAGAACAGCTGGACGGAGAAATGTATAAATGCACGCATAATAATGGGACGGGGCCAACAAATGATCAGGAGAAAGATAGGCGGATATATCCTCCGTGTCTCCAATGTCTCCAAGTACCAAATACCATGAAGTGTAGCCATAGAAACTAGGGAAAAAAAAAAAAAAAAAAAAAAAAAAAAAGAAGTGTGGTATCATGAATCATAAAAGGTAGGGCGAATTCAGGTGTACAGTGCCAAAGAAGAATGAGTCCTAGTTGGCAAAAAAATAATACAAAGAAGGGAAGGATATTCAAAAATGGGCGAAGATGAAACTGAAGGCGCTGCGGGTAAGAAAGGGATGGTGGGGAAGGGCGGCGGGATAAAGGCCATTCATTATAAGGAAGAATTCCGGTAATGAGCCTGCAGGTCGGATTTGTGCCTTATGTAGGAGCCGAACGACGGTTCAAGTCCTTTGCGCAACCCGGACCATCCCCATGAACGCATCCTCGTCGCCAGCAAAATTTAGTATCCAATATCTGCTCAACTCATTGCCATTGTTGCTATTGCTGTTGCCGCTTGCGCCGCCATTGCCATTAGCGTCGACACGATCCAATTCGGCAGAATCGACTCGTCCACCCCTTGCGACATGCTTAGAGCCCCATCCCAAGATCCTCATGCAGGTTCTTTGCCCCTCATCTCCAGGCAGGATATTCAATAGGGTAGTCTCTACACACCCAACGATGGTGACAGCAGCGCGAATAATAATTCGATCGCCCTCAAAGACCCAGCAATCCCACACACGGCTAAGACGCTCCAGGTCCAAGCCATTTGTCAAGAGGGCTTGGAACATAGGGCCCCAAATCTGTTCGTCGGATAGGTACATATTCTCGTACAGGTGGTTGGACACGCGTGGATACTTCAGGCGCAGCGACGTCGAAGCCAGAGAGTAAGCGCGAGACATGGCGCCGGGATCTGCGGTAAGGAATGCCAGCGGTAAGGGTTTATTGAGGGCATTGGCCAGTGTCTGAAATGTAGCAGCAGGCGTTGGGAGGTTGAGCAGGAGAAGAGCAGCAATGGTCTATATGGGTTGTTAATAATACCTCAATATGAAAAATATTGCCAGATGGGCCTGTCAACTTACATGGATGCCGTACAGATAGCCAACGTCACTTCTGTACATTGAATATGCGTCAAGTACGTGCACAAGATTTTTCGCGTAGCGGTCCATCTTCGCCAAATAAATGAAGGTCCGGGAATGCTGTTGATGCATCCCGGCGAATACCCGCAAACCACTCTTTCATCTTTTTGTTTGTATCACTTGCATTGTCATCCGTTGATTTTTGAATATGATTAGCCCTTTCGAGAGCCTTGACGTAAGTCTCCTCCGTTAGAGCAAGGTCATTTCCCAAGGCACGTTGCCAGACAGCTCCTCGGGAACGGGGCGTAATTCCACGCCACCACAGCTCCCTAGTGCGATGTTCCGATATAACGCGGTCCCAATCAGGGAAGACATAGTCATCCCAGATGCGCTGCAATGTCTTGCGGGTATCATCCTTCTTACACTGGGCAGAAGCAGCTTCCGCAGCTTTCCGTTTGTCTACGATCAACTATAATTCAGCCAAATACTCTCAATGTATGGAGAAAACAGGAAGATCACTTACCCGCTTCACGTGAGAGGGCCATCATACGCTTATACTCCAATAAATGCTTCTTTTCCTCCTTTGGGTCTTTGGGAGGAAGCCAGCTTGGTCGTGTTCGCGATAAAACTTTTTCTTTCTCCTTGCTTATGGGGAGGGGGTCAATCATGATATTTGATTTCTGCAAGGGTGGAAGCTGAATCATGCCATTGGATTCACGTTTCCCCTGCTCCAGACTAGATCTAGTAGATGACTTTCCACTTTGAAGACTTTCTTCGCGCTTCTGTATCGCAGCATCAGCATGGAATTCCAGCGCTTCAGTCAATATTTTTGCTTCCTCAGAAAGCTCAGACATGACCAGATTCCACGAGTTGATACGCGGGGAACGAGGCAGAGCTTGCGTCCGAGAAGGGCCCAGGGAGCTTGCTCTTGACAGTTTCGGTCTCTGCGGCCTGGCTGACGTTGGTGGTGATGTTGTTGTTGTTGTTGTTGTTGTTGTTGGAGGTGATGATAATGGTGGAGCTGACGTCGAATGGCACAGCGGAATCGGTCGAGGACCAGGGCTCCTTCGATCGGGGCTAGGGCCTCTGCTTCCAGGTCGCTGCTGGGGAGGGCGTGGAGAGATAGGTACGTTCCATAGCGTTGCATCTTCAGGAAGTTCCTCGTCTGAATCATGATATTCATCTTCCAACTCCTCTACAGTCTTTCGGGGCCGCTGCTGCGACGGAGAACGTGTGAAGGATCGAGATGTAGTAAGTCGGGGCCTTGGTGGCAGTGGTGCACTGTTGGTTGATGATAACAGAGTTGGATGTGTGCCCGGGGAAGGGGATCTCGACCGTTGTCGTGGTGAAGCGCGGAGGTGCAGTGACAGAGCTGAAGGGCTAGTGGTCACTCTACGTGATGCACTCCTGGATCGCGGGAGAGTAAGAGATTGCATTGCCTCCAAAGTACCCTGAACCTGACTCTGGAGCTTAGGGTAGTCCTTCCTGCTAGCAGAGGCTGTCAAATCTCTCGTTGTGGTCGCCATAGCTATAGTGTGAGGGCCTATGGTAGCGGATACGCGGCGACTTGGCCTTACAGCAAACTTGTCCTGGGCAAAGTGACGTGGGTCAACATACTCCTCCTCCAAACCTATATCCTCGAAATTGGAGACGTCGGCAAGGATGCCATCGGGACCGGAGTGTTGGGAAGAGGAACGGAACGAGGAGGACTTGGAGGATTTGGATCCAGAGAGCTCGGGTGGAGAGTCGGGAGCAGCTGAAATGGTCGTCATTTCAATATCTGATTGAGGGTCACACACACGGGCGATAGAATGATGGAGTTTCGATGTGAACTCGCTCGTTTGATTGAGTTGTGTGCCCTTTCGTTGTTCCTCTGATTTCTTTGTTTTTGGTGTTATTCTCTTCCGTGTACTATCCAAATGCCTGTTTTCTGCCCGTGTCTAACAATCCCAGCACGATATTAAGAACCAACCACCACCACCAAGACAGCGGGAACAAAACAAAACACCAAACAAAAAAAAAAGACAATTTCGATAAATTGTCAAAGCGTTGACAGATGAATTGTTCCAGAGATCGAAGTGATGATAGCTACCAATTATCAGAGGAGCGAGATGGGTGCCAGTCCGCGGGACGGGAACGAGCAAGGGGTGTTGGAGGTGTGCAGCCCATCAAAGAGGCATGGCTAATGTAGGTGTTGTAAACAAAAACTATACGCAGGGGCGGTACAACAGAATCAGGACATATTGACCCCAGAGAAACGAGAGAGATGTCCAAGGTCAAATGCTAAAGGGTTGATTCAAGGACCGAGAGAGACAGACGGACTGGCTGGAGACCAAGTGAGTGAGAGAATTACTGCAGTGTTGAAGGGCCAGGGGAGAGCGCGATGACGGGAGGTTCAGATTCGCCTATTTGGGACTAGCGTCGTACGGGCTGGCGTTTCAGGAAGCAGAAAACTTGACCTCGCTAAGTGCGCCACTTGACCTCGTTACATAATCATGACCCCGACCTCGCACAATACAGTAATAATCAGTTGATAATTGACTTTCAATCTTTCAATTCACTCATTTATTCATCCATTCAGCTCATCAATCAATCAAAAAGCATGTATAACTGATTCATAATCAATTAAATAAAAAGATAAATTCATATAGAATATAAAGAGATGTTTTACAGAATTTTAAAATATATTAAGATAAAAATATTTAATAATTGATTTTAAATTGATTATTAATTAATTATAGTAATAAAAATAAATTCAATCTATATATTTAAGTAATTAACAATTGATTGAAAATTAATTAATAATCAATTCAATATAAATTATATAAATACTTACTTTATTATTAAATTCAAGAATAATTTCAGTATTAAATTGATTTTAAATTGATTTTGAATTGATTTTGAATTGATTATTAATTAATTATAGTAATAAAAATAAATTCAATCTATATATTTAAGTAATTAACAATTGATTGAAAATCAATTAATAATCAATTCAGTGTAAATTATATAAATACTTACTTTATTATTAAATTCAAGAATAATTTCAGTATTAAATTGATTTTAAATTGATTTTGAATTGATTGTAGAATTGATGGTAAATAATTGAGTGGTTTCAAATTACAAGAAAAGATGTATTGAGCGAGGTCAGGTAGTGGCACGGGCCACATTTGCGAGGTCAGCTTACATAACAAGGTCAAGTGGCGCACTTAGCGAGGTCAAGTTTTCTGTATACACCTGGCGTTTCAGCCACACCAGGAACAGGTGGGCTGAGGTAAGCAGCGGTATTGGCTGGTAACTATTGGCTCGGCTCTTCAAGGCCCCAGCCAGGTTTTGGGCAGCAAAGTGGCACTGGTAAATACATCCCAACCAACCAAGGCCTTAATTTCCTACTTCGGCAACTTTCCAGCTCCAGATATTATTATTTTTACCTGCTTTTTAATTTCTGTGACTTACTATGTTTAGTACTCGGCTCAGCACTGTAAGATATAACTTGCTTGTATAATTTCCCCCCACAAAAAAAGTTCGTGCCATTGCTAATTTTGTAGGGAGGACGGAGTATTTTGTGGATGGGTCCATCTATTGGACAACTCGTCCATTCCATACATTTCCCACAAGGCGCCCTAGTTAATAATAGAAGGAAGCCGATGATGCCACCTGGGCAACGTTTGCTTCGTCGGCAAAGCCTGGTGGTGATGGTGGCCCGTGAGCTTCTAAGAGAACAGGCGTTTCGCGGGCCAGGAACGCTAGCAGAGGGGGTCTTCGGGAGCTCATCATGGTTCAAGCCGGATGGGCCACGCCTACAAAATGGCTTCTAGACCCTCGAGCTTGCTTCACATGAATGGAAAAACCTTCCACCTAACACTGTAGCCGACAAGATGCATATCGACAGTCCGAGTATAAGTTATAAAGCAACTAAACATCACGTTAAACTACACTATCTATACGCCCGTTTTCTAGAGCATGTTCATTACGTGCGGCTCATAAATCATGTGGGGCAACGGATGTACTGCGCATTAGCATTCCCGAGTTCCGCTCGCTCTGACCGCCTTCCACAACCTCACCGCTTCCCCATCTGTCATCGGCCGCGACTCCCGACTCACCGCATCAAGCCAACGTAGCGTTGCCTTGAACTTGGTCTGTTTGCGACCAAGCACCGTCCGAAACGCAGTAGCTGCAAGCCAGCGGGTCTGTGATCTTGTCGCGCTGCTCTCAAACCGCGAGCCCGTCCGGGATGCAGTCGACTTGAGCGATTGTGTGAGGTGGAGGGGCGCTTCCATGAGCGCTGAGATTGTCCGGATAAGAAGAGATGAGGACACCATTGCGCTATCTCCCCGTTGTAGACTGCGTAGATGAAGACAGCGTGTATACTCATACAGCTTCATGGCTGATTCGAAGAAGCTCTGGTAAAGATTTGCTAGCACTACCAAAGGTGGGTTATGCTTCGTGTCGAGGAACATGGCGTGGACCTGGATTTTAAATGACTTAAGGGTCTTGCGGTAAAACGAGAGGCCGGGGGACTTGGTGGCCTCGACTGTTAACGCATCTGAGGTGGTAAGGCTGGGATGCTTCGGTGTGCGATCCTTGGTGAGAGCAAGTGTGTATGTGTCAATCACATTTCCACAATATGGGAACTGACGTTGAGAGGGCCCAAGGAGTCGCGGGACCTTGCGTCCATCAATTGTGGTCGTAAAATTCACCAGGATTTTCTCTGGGTTTACGGAAATGCCATAGTCCTCATTTCCCTCAAGCATGACTTGCAGGAATTTGACGGCAAGCTCAGGCTTCGTCGTGACGAGGAGATAGTCGTCTATGAGGCGAAGGAGGAGCGCGTCGTCGCCATCAAGGAATACAAGCTTCTCCCGTTCGTATTCGGCATAAAAAAAGTTACAAAGCAATGTCGAAACGATAGATCCTTGCGGAATACCCGTCCTCTGCCGAAAATACTTCTTGCCGATTTTCACCAGATTGTTCTCAATGTGTTCTTGGAGAAGGCGGATGATATCCCTCTTCTGATGCTTTTTGTAGGTCGGAGTATCGACGAAGACGGTATGTCTTTTGCTCTTACTCTCTATGCCAACAACAGTGTCATGTAGACTCGTGAAATCAGCAAAACCCGCCGCTTTAGATATAAATTTCCTTACCGGTTTGGCCTTCGTCTGACGGAGAACGGGGACACCTGTTAGAGCTTCCCCTGGAGGTCTGATCTCTACATGTTTGGTTACGAGATAATCATCCTCAGCAAGTAGTCTTTTGGTTAATTGAATTAGCCGTTTTTGTGGGATGGTATCAAAGCACGATTGGATATCCAATTTCACAAAGTAAAAAGGTTCGGTCCTTGCCGAATTGGGTGGTACCTTACTCTCCTTGAAAGCCTTCAGCCGAGAGTAGATATGATCTACAGAGAACATTGTGGCACCAAGCATCCCCAAACGCTGCGTTTTCTCGTAGTTGAGTATATTGAACGCTGGCGTCATGATAGAATTGATGCTAGGCCCCAGCTCGCTCAACCCTCCCCACCCGCACTTCCGAACAGGTCTCCGCCTTAGGTTAACGATAGGTCGTGCGCCAGATGACTTTGGAAGCAATCTCAAAAGACTGTAACTCAAATTGCGTCTGCTTAAAATCTGCTCCGCAGTTTCCTTTTGGACCTCCTCGAAGGTGGAGAGCTTGAGTTGAGCAATTGATGGCTCTACAAGCCGCCGCCATGTGTCATGACGAAAGTAGAACAAACGATTACGGTGGACGCCAGATTCTGTGACGTAGAAGTTTGAGCGAATCAGTGGTATGAGAATCGAGTCGAATACGTAGTAAACAAATTCAAGATATATCTCCGTCCTTTTACGGATATCTGAAGGCGAAAGCTTAACGGACGGGAGTTCCTGGATTCCCGTGCGGGATGGGGGCTGCAGCCATTTGACACAAGTGATCTATTACAGGAGTGGCTCCATGATTAGTTCGACATCCTTCTACGCCTTTCCGCAGGTACGAATATGAAGCCCAACAAAGGTTTCGCCACGTATGAAACCGGGAACTTGGGTTTAAAGAATCAACTGGACTTACCTTCAATCCCTGTGAAACTTCATGTAATGATAAACTCTCGAACCTACGCAATTGCACGAAGCTATCCACGTGGCGCATGATAATGTCTCTATTCTTAATTCCATCGTTTCCATATCCGTACAACTCATTGGGTATGAGTTTCAGCAACACACCCCGGCAAAATGCGGATACCGCGGTGGGTGGGGTAGCATAATCTGTCATTTGCAGTTTACAAGGTGGTTTCTTTTGGGTTAATGTAACATCCGATTGTGTGTTGTGGTTTGATTTGCTCCCTGGTATTTGGGCTTTGTTCAATGGCTGCATATGGTAAGATGGCAGGGTGAGAGTCACTTCTTCTTTATGGGTAACTAGCTGTGTTGAGGTACTCGCGTTGTCATAACTCGAAGAAGGTAACCCTGCAAGGCTCAGAGTCGGTGGACCTATGTTCTGGTAATAATCAAATTATTAAATACCCAAAGCAGTTTCTATCAATTGACAAACGAGCAGCAACTGAGGTTTACCTCGACTGGGCAGTAATAGCGCAAAAGCTCAGCATAAGGGCACCGCTGATGACGCTTTTGCAACTTCTGAATTAGGACAAAAAGGTCACCACGTAGTCGTTTTGGAACCTTCTCATCAATTTCGCTAGATATTTTATGGGGCTTTGGGGGACGATTCTTTTTGTTCCTGCAGCGTGATATCTCTTCCTCACGCAGAGTATAGTCCTTGA